TACAATTTTGAAGAAAGAATTGCTGTACTTCGGGTTGTGAAAGAGAAGAGACTTTTTGGCTTTATACTATTTTGTGGAAGAGCCACATTTTCAAACTATACAAAAGCTCTTTCCTAACAATGGCATAACTGAAAGGGGAATCATCTAGGGCAGCGGTCGCCAACCTTTTGGACCTCACAGACCACTGATCTACGGGCATCCAGGTGAGAGCTGGGCCATCTTGGTATAAAGCCAAAAAGTCTTTTCTCTTCACACCCCGAAGGACAGCAATTCTTCTTCACAATTGTATGGTGTGCTGGTCACACAGTGTGCATTCAACACATAGTTTTTGCATTAAAAACAGTATCAAAGAAATTACTATATTTGGAATTTACTTAGTTCAGTTAGAAAGCTATCTATTTGATCTGAGTAGGTTAGATTATTTATTAGTAGTGTTGAAAATGGATTAGAAATTATTCCCATTCCTGCCATTTTATTCTAAACTAGTGACCCAGTGCACAGATTTGTGCACATTGAAAGGAAATTAATTAAAAGGTGGCTGGTGGGGTGGGACTGGGCGAGACGGGCTGGACACACCCTGGAGCCAACCTTCCATGGTTCCTCCCTGGCCAGCCGCACCTGGGGTGGCGCCCTGGCTTGAAGGGCATCTGCAGAGTGAGCGGGGTCCTTCCAGCAGGTGAGGTCCCTCAGCCTCGCCTGCGGGTGGGGCTGAAACAAGCTCTCTGACATCCCCCGAGGGGTCCCGGATTGCGAGAGGGTGGTTCCCGGGTGATGCACCCTGGAATCGGGCTCCCTCGTCTCTGGTCCCGGGGTGGGTCACCCAAGAACTGCTGCTGCCAAGTCACCGCAGCTTGGTAACTCCTGCATTGAGTGTCTGCCCCCTGGTGGTCAGTGCGTGTCATAGCTACTGGTCGGAACATCTGCCCCCTGGTGGTCATTGTGCATCATAGCTACCGGTCGAACGGTCGGACGGTCGCTTAGCCTATCCTATCTAATAGAAGGGTAATATGCAAATTAACCATCACTCTGTCACAAAGATGGCGGCACCCATAGCCACAAGATGGCGGCGCCCAGTCCTCTCAGCCCCGCCGGAGTCCCCCAGTCCTGGGGGGACAGCTGCTGAGAGTGGGTAGTGTGAGCGGCCTGGCGGAATGCTTGCTTTGTCGCCATGGCAACGAGGCAAGCGTTCCACCCCAGCTGTGGAGGGCCTCTGGGCAGTGGGCACAGAGCGGTTGGGGGGGGATGGGGGGAGGAATGCATGCATCATCGCCCCAGCAATGAGGCAAGCGTTCTGCGCCCGGCCGCGGATGGGCCTCTGGGCTGCGGAGAGCCTCTGGGTAGTGGGCGTGGAGCGGCCAGGCCCTGCAGAGAGCTACTGGAGCACGGATTCGTGTGCAGGGCTACTAGTTATATATATAGATAATATATCAAGTAGGAGTGACAAGTTATTTCTTTGTACATCATCCCTTTAGTCACTTACATACAAAATGCACTGTGAATATTTTTGCTTTATTGAAAACAAATCTAAAAGGCAGAGATTATATAAAATTATATACAGATAAGAATCCTTAAATTGTTAATTTCATTTTACCAATGATCTAGTTGTGCACTTTTTCTAATTTAATGATAGGTTTTAAATTCAAAACTGCTCTCAACTTACAAATTTAGGTAAGTAATAATTTCTGGTGAAAATATCAATTTATGTAATCGTGGAAATATTCTCTACTGCTGAGAGGCTGGAGGGCACACTCCTTCATTCATTTATCAAGTGTTTTTCAAACATCTACCCTGTGCCAGCACCATGACTTTCACATTGTCTGTTTTTAATGGTATTTCAGATCTTCCAAGAGACCTGTCACTTTAAATCACTGCATCAAGTAAAGAAAACTTCTGATTTTCTAGCTGAGCATTAGATGCTGTAGAACCACAGGGAGATACTCAGGCTCCTGATAACTGACATATTTTAGCAAATGTTTGACAGGGAGGCATTGTGTGTAAATACAGCATAGCTTGATGGTTAAGCATCCTCGTTGAGGAACCAAAAAGGCCTGGTGGTGAATCCTGGCTCTACTGCCTATTGGCTGAGTCACCTTAGAAAAGTTAATTAACCTCTCTGAGCCTCAGATTGCTCATTTGTCAAAGTGGGAACTAATAATAGTACATACCTGATAATAACATAGTGGGGATTAGGTGAGGTGACGTGTGTAAAGTATAGAGATCAGTGCTGGAATTTATTAATTGCCCAAGAAATGTTAGCTATTAATAGAAGGAGTAACACTGATGATGGTGATTGTAGTAGTAGTTAATTGGGTCAAGGGTTTCCTTGTTTAGCTGGATAATCTAATGTGCATAGAGGGAATAGGGCTTCGGTTTTTTATTTTCATATTCTGGTTAACAATATCAAACACAAAACGTTTCAAGATTTAGTTGTTAAAATATTTCTGAAACATACTAATCCATTTTAAAGATTAAAATGAAATATACTTTAATATTTTTATATGTGCCAAGTTCCTGTAGGATTTGGGGTCTTATGATTGTGACAGAATGTTATTACAGATGCAAAAGTTTCAGAAAGTTTATACTAAGCCCAGAACAAAATCTAAATATTTGTTTAGCTAAATGCCTCATCTAATCCTGTTTCTTTCCCCTAAAAAGTGTATTGCTAACAAAATTCTACTTAATTCAAAGTGCCTGACAACTGGGTCTTGTTTTATTGTCTCATTATAACTTATTTTGTTTATTAACTGTGTAGAAAATAAATTTACCAGATCTAAAAATTATCAGTAAGACAAATTAAAGAGTTTATAATGAATTTAATCTTTTCACGTTATATATTTCTAAGAACTTTACTCACAATTGCCACAGGGTCATTGCTGCGGGTGGCAGCCAGGCTGAACTTCTTGACATGGGTGTTGGTCTCCAGAGCCTTTGCAAATTCTCTCAGGGTTGGAATTGGAATGTTCTATGATGGGGAAGGTACAGAGAGTTGATAAGCCAAGGATCCATAGCTTTTAAGTACTTTATATATTTAGATGACTAATTGCATGCTAAGCCCTCTAAAAGACATTTATCACCCATCTTCCAACAACTGAAGCCATCCCTAGCCAATAGCCACGCTGTGTCTAATAAGGGAATGTAACACAACGAGACACTGCGGCATCACCTTTCTGTTTACTAACCAAAAAATTATGCACCTACCATATTCCCTCTTCTCTTTCATTCTCTGTGTTCTAACCAGACTGACCTACTTGCTAATATACCATGGTCTTTCTCTCCTCTATACCTTTAGATATGCTTTTTCCTTTATCTGGAAATTCCTCTGTCCTTTCTCTGATTAATTCCTACTCTTCTTTTAAGACTCAGCTAAAATATTACCTCCTTTGTTTATTGGCTCTCATAGGCAGGATCAAAGTTTTCCTTACCTGCAATTCCATAACATCTGGGGCTTACCACATTCTGTTCTAATGATTTGTTTAGTGTTATTCTCCTAACAATAAGTTCTTCAGAATAGACAAAAATGAATCCTACTCCCTCTTCTACAGCACTTAGCCGGGTACTGACCACTGGGGAGGGTGGCAACATGGGGTACAGACAGAGGCTGACGTGAGTCTTACATGTTCCACAGACTATTCTGGGACTGTGAGCAACTTAACCTCTTTAAGTCCCACTAAGAATTAAATGAGATAACGAATTTCAAGTTTTTAGCAAAAAATCTGGTACATAACGAGTACTCAATAAAAGTCTGTTATTATTATTTTTTAAATATATTATTGATTTCAGAGAGGAAGGGAGAGGGAGAGAGAGACAGAAACATCAATGATGAGAATCGTTGATCGGCTGCCTCCTGCATGCCCCCTGCTGGGGATTGCGCCCACAACCCAGGCACGTGCCCTTGACTGAAATTGAGCCCAGAACCCTTCAGTCCCTAGGCCAACGCTCTATCCACTGAGCCAAACCGGCTAGGGCAAAAGTCTGTTATTATTATTAAATGCTAGAAATTGGCCCAACAAGAATGAACAAAACATGTCAGACAATGTTCTCTCTCCCTCTCTCTCTCATACACAACACACACACACACACACACACACACACACACACACACCACACGCACACACACATGCACGCACACACACACACCCCTCTACTTGAGAGTCACATGACCTATTGCCAAATAGAATAAAGTGGAAGTGACAATGTGTGACTTCAGAGAATAAGTAATAACATACACTGTGGCTTCCTGACTGTTCTCTTTCTCTTGGATCACTCATGTTGGGGGAAGCCAGCTGTCATGATGTATGGACACAGGTAGAAACAGAGGCTTCCTATAAACAGCCACGGGAGTGCACCTTCTAGGAAGTAGATCCTCCTCCTCAGGCGGGCCTGTAAGGTGATTGCAGCCCTGGCGGATAGATAGCCTCCCCAGAGCCTTTTTTGAAACACTGAGTCATACTACCCAGCTAAGTCACTCCCCGTTTCCTGATCCTCAGAAACTGGGTGAAAGAATAAATGTTTCTTCTTTTAAGCCTGTAAGTTTTGAAGTAATTTGCTATTCAACAATAGATAACCAGCATATTATTTAACACAACTACTATTAATTGTTTCCAAGAATTCTAGAAATCATTGTTTTTAAACCTACTTCTTCTTTTGAATGGGATATCTTGCCTCAAAATCAGTGACTCAAAAGATTTCAACTAGGTAATCAGTCATCCCCTTTAAGTTTTCTAAACTCAAGATAAATCAAGCGACTGACAACAGTCATAGTGAGATACCTTAATGTTGTTGAGATTGACTTCTTGGAGGCTGGGATCGTTAGCTTTCATCTGCTGCAGACTTACTTCCACATTTGTGGGGTTGGGTGGTTCCTCAAATACAGGCTTGACCTTTTCACCTTTGACCACATCTAAGACACAAGTTAAAAAAAAAAAGAAACGTAAGGATTCTCCTGTCAAAATCAGCGATGATCCCCCCCCACCCCGCCAAACGACCTTTTTTCATATTCTCTGATCCTAATAATACTTTATTATCAATGACAGTAAGCTTATTCTCAACTAAACAAGCATGGGAATGGTATGGCTCTGAGTTACAGTTTCAAAGATTGATGCTTCTCAACCGCAATGAGAAGTCTCAGTAGCTGACACTGCATGGAGCCAAAAGTGCAGGAGACCCTACAGCAAGTATGTCAAACTCGCGGCCCTACGACGACTATTTTTGCAGCCCAGCCAATATAACGGTATGTAATGAACGTTTTAATAAAAATTTTGTAACTTAGTTTTTACAATATGCTGTTATACATAATTATTAATAACGCACTACAACATTCGCTAATACAAAAATATGTATACACAATTTGAATAATTATTAATTCCAATGTGTGAAATCTGAAAAGAAAGAAACATCAATTGAGCTATCAACTGTTAAGTGTGTATACATTTTTTTGGAATCCCTGTATTGTTGGTGGAAATGTTGGTGCATGATTTTGGGGAGAGTAATCTGGCATCACCTGTCAAAATTTAAAATGTAGAAACTTTATGACCCAGAAACTCTATATCTAGAAGTCTAATCTACAGAAAAAATAGCATAAAAACATAAAGATATACATTCAGGAATGTTCATTGATGTATTACTGGTGACAGTAAAACAGGATAAAATGTCCATCGATGTGAAAATGGTTAAATAAGTTATAGCATAATCACCTAATAAGATGCTATCTATTCACTAAAAGAACAGGCAAACCTACATGTACTGGTAGGAGACTAGAACCATAATTTTAAAAAAAGTTAATGAAAAATAAAATACTTAGGTCTAAACCTAAAAAATATGTACAAAATCGGTATGAGAAAAACTATAATACTCTTGAAAGATAGTCCATGTTCATAGATAGGAAGACTCAATATTGTTAAGATGTTAGTTCTTTACCAATTTAGTGTAATCCCAATAAAAATCCCAGCAAGTGATTTTGTAGATATCCACAAACTAATTCTGAAGTTTATATGGAGAAGCAAAAACCCAGAAGAGCCAATATACTATTGCAAGAGAACAACAAAGTTGGAGAACTATCACTACTCAACTTCAAGACTTACTATAAAGCTATAGTAATCAAGCCCTAGCTGGGTGGCTCAATTGGTTGGAGTGTCATCCCTTATACCAAAGGTTACAGGTTTGATTCCCAGTCAAGGCACATGTTTCTCTCTCACATTAATGTTTCTCTCTCTCTCCCTCTTGCTCTAAGAATCAGTGTGTCTTTCATGCTCTCTGGGGGATGTGGGTATTCAAATTCTAATGACAAGCATCCATTATTGAGACAAAAAGACACTGAAATAGAGAAAAGAACTTTTTTAAGATGTGACAGTTGATTAAAACATCCTTGGGAACAGGAAACTCTGCATTCCATGCTAACTATGCAACCTACCAGCAATTTTACCTTTTGATGGAAGGGACCTAACTACAGAGTGTGTTTTGGACAAAACAACTGATTGTTACTAGTTACACTGCCAGACAGAGTTCCCATGATCAGCTACTCTATCCTGGTTTGACCGCCCCGAGCCCAGTGATCCTTGGTGAACTGACAAAAGCCACTTTCAAAGGCCGCAGCACAGAGGTCAGGATGCACTAGGAGGCCCAGTCAACAGGCCTCTCCTCCCAGCAACACGTGGAGGCTCCCAAGCCTCACGGAACTGCAGATTCCACGTCAACTTACTTCTCACAGGCCCTTTGCCACCTTTACTGTTGGGTGTTTCTTCATCAAATTTTGGGTTATTGAGCAAATTGTGGACTCCAAGAACAGCTGGAAGAAAAAAAAATCAGTGAATAAACATTAAGTTTGGAAAAACATGTTAGGATACCCACATTGTTAATTTGTTCCTTGAAGAACAATTCTTGGTATCATAAAGATAAGTCTCCGGACCCATACTTCCTTGCACAGTGTGTGGTACATGTATAGTGTTAAATAAACTGATATATTAACACACACACATACACAAAAACCCTCCCTGCAAGACCACCAGCAATCTACACAGGTCTTTCTACATCTGTACCTGTGACACCATTTGGGATCTGAGGGACAATGGCCTAGTGATGGTCCCAAATTACTGAAAACCTGCTAAGACCTCCTAGTAAAGTAGATTCAAACTCATCAGCTTTCCCATCTGTAAAATGTGAGGGTCGGACTGAACCTAAGGATATTTTAAGATTTGACATTATAGAGATGATGGCATGTATTTCTTCAGAGGCAAAGAGCAGAAAGATCGTGGGTCTCTTTCAATATAAGCCTCACCGAGAGAAGTTGCCCTTTCCTTGTCTAAAGCATCTCACCGTGGGAAATAAAAGAGACACCAGCAACGGAAGGCTGAGCATGCTGAGATTTGAGGCTCCTGTACTACATGGAACTGGCACCAGGGGGCAGCACAGCATGCGAGAAACAGCACTGGGGGAGAATGCACACCAGGCAGGCTGAAGCTGCAACTGCACCCCAGCTCTCCCCTCACTAATAAAATTACAGGCGGCCACCTGGTGAACGATCCCGTCCCAGAATCGATCTGTGAATAGGGGTCAGAGCTCCTGTTAACTCTGAGCTCTTCGTCAGCTGTACTGTAATCTGCACATTAGAAGGAGGCAGGAGGCCAGCACACCGTAAGAAACAGCAAGTCTAGGGTTAAAAGGGCCCCCAGGAGCAGTCAGCCAATATGAATACTGTCATGTACTACCTGTGTGACTTGAGAAGTTACTAAATGCCTCTGAGCCTCAGTTTCCCCATCTGTAAAGTAGGGATAATAATTATGCTTTACCTACTACAAAAATGAAATGACTGCCCTGGCCAGTGTAGTTCAGTGGTTAGAGTGTCGGCCTGAGCACCAGAGGGTCACAGGTTTGATTCCTGTCAAGGGCACATACCTGGGTTGCAGGTTCGATCCCCACCCCAGTAGGGGTGTGTGTGGGAGGCAACAAATTGATGTATCGCTCTCACATGGATGTTTCTCTCTTCCTCCCCCTTTTCTCCCCTCTACTTCCCCCTCCCTTCCACTCTCTCTAAAAATCCATGGAAAAATATCCTCACTCCTCAGGTGAGGATTAAAAAAAGATGAAATGACTTCCTATGCGTCAGGCACTGTTCTAAGTGCTTTATACATTCTTATCAGTAAATAAGCATTTATTACGGTGTTTCTGGCATTGGCCAGGGAGATGCCCTATTTGATAAGCACAAGCTTACTGAGACCATCCAAAAAACATATCTTGCTTTGGCCCCATTCTCACTAATAACTTCTAATTATAATTTGGCTCCCATTGCCAAGTGTTAATTTTTGTGTTACCTGTTTCCTGTGAACCTGGCAGGTGGACCCGTCCCCACTGCCTGGCCCCAATCAGACTGCTGCTATGTGCACCGACAAGATCAAATCACCAGACCAGCAGAGCTGAGAACTAGACTGGTGTGGCGGGGGACCACACAGAAATACGGCCTTTAACACTGTGGGGGTGCTCGCTTGAGGAACAATCTGTCCTTCTGCTCTTGGTCTGCTAGAGTAACATGGGCAGGGCGTTGACACGCTTTCAAAGGCTGGCAGCTCTACTTCTTCCAGAGAGAGCCGTCCTGGAGAAGATGCGGGGCTTCCTCCTGGTGCTGAGGGGCACTGCTGAGGGAGGGAGGCTACGTAAAACGAACACGACAGTTTTCTTTGGGGATTATCCCCCTGGTTTTACTGCATGAATTTCAGGATCTTCCAAACGACGGGTGCTTATCTCTTTCTTTCTTCTTAGGCATTTCCTGGGAATTTAAGCCCAGCCCTGCATTCTCCCTTTGGGCAATTCCAGGACAGACCAAGAGGCAACAGTCACCATAACAGGATCCCTCCCCAGCAACCACAGGGCTAAGGAGACTGGTCACTGCTAAGCACCTTCCTAACTGTGTGGCACAGGTGCCTCAACGCTGCAGTGACTTCTGAGAGGGGGTCAAATACGTGAATTTAATACTGACCACTGATATCACAGAAGGAATGAAAATGTAGCTGGAACGGTTTGCATGCTATTAGAATAAGGCATAGCTGGTTCTCCTAGGAGGACGGAGATTATAGTAATATGCCTTCCAATGGAATAAAAATGTGAGAATTCTTGCTAAAACTATGGATTATTTTTTTTAAAACACCTCTCTCCTGTGATGACCTAATGACCCTCATGATCCACATATCCATCTTATTTGGAGAAAAGTGCATCCCATTTGTACACAAATATGCTGGCATATGCATGGGTTCTTTCTCAAAGGATAGATAAGAAATGGGAGGGGGCTTATGTAATCAGGGTGAGAGACTTACTTTCATTACATATTCTTTTTGTTGTTGTTAATCCTCACCTGAGGTTATTTTTCCATTGATTTTTTTTAGAGAGATTGGAAGACAGAGGGAAAGTTAGAGAGAAACATCAATGTGAGAAACACATCGATTGGTTGCCTCCTGCATGAGCTCTGACCAGGGCCCAGGCCGGGAAGGAGCCTGCAACCAACCCTGTGGTCTGCAAGCCAACGCTCTATCCACTGAGTAAAACCGGCTAGGGCCATTACATATTCTTTTGTACTTTTTGGGCTTTTTCTAGCTGCATGTATAACCAATTCAAATAATAATGCCAATAATTATTGTATTGTTGCTACTGTTAAGAAAACTAGAAAAAAAGTCAGCAGATTGGGCTGAAAGTGGATTTACCACAGTGCATGAACGTCACAGTAATTACCCCCATTCAGAGTTGGGTTCAACAGACCTGTTAGTGGGGATCAAAATGGAACAGCAACTGGGGAAGAGCAAGAACTTTATGGAAATGTTGTGATGATAAAGTGACAAATGTGAAAGCTCTTTAGAAAGCACAAGGGCTGTTATTTTATCGTGTAAGTCCTCAGCACTCCTTCAACTCTATTCTCTGATTTCTTACAGAAACTCTTGAGTTTGGTAGGATGGGTATTACTGGGGCACTTTACAGCTGAAATTCAGCAGAATGTTTGCTCAGAGAGGTTAAGTCAGCTGAATCAAGTCTTACAGCTACATAAAGACTGAAGCCAACCAGGTATCACAATAAAAGCCAGTAGCTACGGAGAAACTCAAAGGCTACTGCCATGGGTGCCGACCTGGAGGCCACAGAATGAAACAGGAAAGTGACCCAGAGCTGAGGACTAACCTGCAAGATCGTAGAGTTCAGTGTCGGAGGCACTGGCCAAAGCTTCTTCCAGTTCTGGATCAAGGGTCACTTTTTCTTCTTTACGCGTTTCCACGGGCTTCTCTTTGGGGATAAAGACTCTCCCTTTGAGTCAGAAGAAAAACAAAAACCATTGTGTGGGCTGCTTATTGCAGGGGAAGCAGGCCCACCAGAGAATGCAGCTCTGGCTGTTAAGAGCCGAGTCATTAGGCCGTTGCACATCCAACTGGGATGCCTTAAGTGCTGGGATAATGCCATTATCAATAAGCCACAATTAGAAGGGAGGAAGGTCAGAGGAGGAATCCTGCATTCTACAGCACTGACATCCAAGGAGACTGCAGTCCTTAACCACAGAGAGAAATGGCTTCTACCTCCCTCCTTCCCATCGATCAGCAGCACTGCCCTTAGACCTGGGCAAAGGGGGGCCCTGCCGTGGACCCCAACTTTAAAGAGCTCAGCTCTGGTCTCCTCTGGCTGCACACCCCCCACCCCCCTCACACACACACACCGCTTCTGCCCCACCAAGGGAAGAATCATGGGACAAAGGGACATTCCCATTGAGAACAGAGGCTGCCTGCTAGACCACACCCAGGCACCTTGGACCCTGGGATTCTTGCCTAAGAGCCGTGAGCCTGCTTCCAGGGCCTGCATGAATCCCTTCTATGCCCACCCTCCTGAATGCAGGTCACACTGCTGGGATGTACACCCCCAGGCCAAGGGGAGGCAGTGGTGGATGAGTATGAATGAAGCTTGGATATGCAGGCGGAGGTGTCAACCATATGCATTTGAGGTCCTGGTAGAGAAGGACGGACATCCCTGTGTAGAACTCTTGGAAGTCCAAGAATACTGGCCTACGTATACTTGTAGGATATAAGATATTTTAACACTTTGTTAACTTAAATTTTTTTTTTAAAGGCACTTGAACTTCTGTTTGTGTTCTTGTCTTGGACCCTGCAAATATTAGGACCAGATTCATCCAAATGGCCCTGGGATTCCTAAGGGACAAATGTGATCATCCAGAGTTTTCCTCTCACCAACTGAGGTGGTAGACCAGTAGGATGTTCTATCTAGGATCATGTGACTAGGTAGTGACCTGGGACGCAGCCACCTCTCTACAGCATACCAAAGTCAGCCTGATTTAAAAGAAAATAAGCAGGGCTGGCGTACTCAGAGACGTGGGGGTCTGGGCAGTAGAGCTCTCTGTGCTTCCCACGTGCACATTCTCTGCCACCACCTCCCACCTTACCCTGTTCAATCGAATCACATTCATTTTGCCCCTACTCACTTCTGAATATGCCAATATCTGCAACACCCCAACCCACCCCCGCGCTGCCCAAACCTCTGGACTAATAATCACAAGGCCGGGAGGATGTGAATACAGCCAGGCCAGCACACCCACATCCCACATGGGCTTATAAAGGTGAAGCCAAGACACACTGGGGCCACCATAGCCATACCCCAGACCTACTCATACTCTTCCCAATTCCTCCTGCTTTGACTCTTGGTTTCTCTCTTTTTTGGAGCTGCTTTTACTTCTTGGCATGATCTCTGAAACTGGTCTCCTCCATGGTGATCTTTAGAGTTCCCTAAAGACTCACCCCTCCATTCCTTTTCCCCTTTGTCCCCTGGGGTAGAACAGACAGCTGGCTCCAGCTTCAGCCATTAGGACCCAAGTTCCTTCTAGGTCTCCTTGGCTAGTCTGGCCTTCCCTACTCCCATGGGAAAGGCAAGGGGAAACCCAAAGTCAGTATGTCTCCCTCATGAAAACTCTCCAGGAGGCGTCCCTGGTTACAGGGCTTTACACTTCCCAGTGGTTCACCAGATCCTCAAATGGTTGGACAAGGAAACAGGGGCCAGGTAGAGCTGGGCACCCCAAAGAGGGCCCACTCCTTATGGTCAGACCACAGGTCTCTATCTTTGACCACTATATAAGCTGCCATATTTCCAAGAAGAGAAGAAAGCACACTGGGAAACAAAACAGGAGAATGGCCAGAAGAGAGGGGCAGGGGAAAATCAACCAGTCAATAGCATCTCAGACACCGGGGCTATTCCTGACTTAATTTTCATAGTATCTGCAGCCTGAAGCACTGTCTTTCTGGCTCGGATGATCTCGGGTCCAGATTCAAAATCGGATTTCTAAGTAATCCTGGTACTGTTCAGGGTCCCTCCCAACACTGTTGCACAGCTGGCCCACAGCTATTGGCATTCAGGACAACTGCTGCTGCACAGCCATTCCTTGGGCTCCGACCAAGTAAGTTCTCAGTGAAAAAAACTACACTAGAGAATTAAATGTAGCTCAGGCACACGGCCTTCAGAACTGAGGTGTGCCAGCCCTCTCCTGAGGCCCTCACTACAGCCCCCCACGGCTTCCAGAGCACCCACTGGTCCTTCCCGGGGCCTGTAGACTCCCCCACCTCACCTTCATCCCTCTGTGTGGAAAACTTGTTGTTTTTTTTCCGCTCAACTGTGTTGCTTCTCAACCTTCTCCTAAGCTACCTGTGCAGCTGTATTACCCTCTTGTATCCCCATTTATAACTCAGACTGCTCCTGCACCTCTAGTTCCCCCGTGAACCATCTTTAAGTTGATCTGGATCGAGAGGGGAATTTACCACAGCTCCTCCTCAAACCTCTACTCTGAGAACAGAACACAACAGTTTTCCTCTTGTTATTCAGTCACTACCCTAATACTGGACGTTAACAGGAATTTTATTGAAAATTTGACATTAAATAATTTACTTTTTATTTCACAATTAAATTAGTTCAATAGCAACTATGTTACCATAGAAAGAGTTTATATTTCTACGGTAATCCTTGGTTATTTGTCACTGTTCACCTTTACTTTCTTAATAAAATAACATCATCCACGGTACGTGACCTGTCAAACATGCCTGGTTCAGAGGAGAGCTGGGGCGCAGTATGAGCGGAGGCAGCACTGCTGTGACTCATGCCAGCAGGGGAGCTGTGTTCCCACCCCCACAGAAGCTCAGAGATGGCGTTCATTCGAGTCCATATTTATCAAGTGCCTCCCCGTGTCAGCTTCTGTGCCAGGATGCAAGAGAGACACAACCCCACCGTGGAGATCTCAATCTAATGTGGAAAACACGCAAAACCAAAAACAAATAAATAAAGGATAAACACTGTCACGGGCTGTGAACGTAACAAATGAGTGTCAGGGCAGAAAGAAGAGGTCTGTTTTAGACAGAGGGAAAGCTGGAGGCCTGGGCATTTAAGCTGAGGCTTAGAAAGCAAAATATGGGGATGTGGGTCAGAGGGAAGAGTCCACAAGAAGACCCTGAGACGGGAAAAAAAACTCGGCAGGTTCGGGGAACTGAATGAAGATATTGGGGCTGAGGCTTAGTGAGGGAAGGCTGTCAGAGAGGTGGGCAGGAAGGACTCTCCCGGGACTATGAGAAGCACAGTAAGGATTTGGGGTTTTAAGCAGGGAAGCAGCATGATCTGATTTGTGTTTTAAAAGACTGTGGTAGCCCTGGCTGGTGTGGCTCAGTTGGCTGGGCATTATCCTGTGCACTGAAGGATTGCTGGTTCGATTCCCAATTAGGGCACATCTGGGGTTATGGGCTCGATCCCTGGTGGGGGCTGTGCAGGAGGCAGCTGATTGATGTTTGGGATGTTTTTCGTTCTCCCTCTCTTTCTAAAAATCAATTAAAAAATATATATTTTAGACTGTGGTCGCCATGAGATTATCAATGATTTTATTAGTACCCATGGGCCCAAGTTGCCGTCTGTAGCTGAAGAACCTGGACAGGTGAGTGATATCCACTTTTTCCTCCAAAGGGCTCAGGATTGAGAGCTAAGGAGGAAGGTTTTCCTGTCTTGAGTCTGTCGTGCCTATCTCACAGCCTTCCCAGGTCTATCACAGTGTTTCTCTCACTAGACCACAAGCTCTTTGAGGGCAGGGCAGGGTCTTACTCACTGTGGTTCCAGCACCTGACACTCGGCTCTGCACAGAGGAGGTCAATGCTGAATGAATGATTTACTGCACTACCCCTCAAGGTAACATCTAGGAACATAGCCAATGCCTAGACATGGAGTAGACTTCTGCAGCGGGTAAGGCCCTGGCCTGAGAGCATTCACGCTTATGGGACCTTCTCTTAGGCACAACTCTACTTCCTACTCCCAAAACTTTCTTTGGGAGTTAAGAATTCTTTTTTTACAGAACTAATTTGAGTACCACCACACTCAAAGTATTCATTTAATTAGCCTCCATGCTTCTTTTTTACTTAGTTAATAAACTTTATTTTGGGGAGCAGTTTTTAGGTTCACAGAGGAAAGCACTGAGAGTTCCCATATACCCCTTAGCCCCACACTGCCAATCTCCCCCTCTATTGATATCCCACAGCAGAGTCGTACATCTGTTACAACCAATGAGCCTACACTGATATCACCCAAAGCTTAGAGTTTACATTAGAGCTCACTCTGGGGGGTGTACATTCTATGGGTCTGGACAAATGTCTACACTGACATGTATCCATCAGCCATGATTCTTTTAAACACTGAATCCAATTATGGGCTTATTTCCCATTCCCAGGCCAGTTCCCTGGCTTGACCTTCCAGGACATACATTAGGAGCACCTCTGTCCCAAGAGGCGCCACCTGCGGTCCTTACCTTTCTTTTCTCCAGTGAAAGGCACAACGTCTTCTCTGTCTTTCTGTTCCAAAGCCTCCTTCTCCAGGTACATGAGGAGGTGCTCGCGGTCAAAGGGGCCGGTGGCTGCTTTCTGTGTCTGGTCTTTCTGTCGGAATCCAGCTGGTAGCAGGGCACTCTGGTAAGACAGAGGTGTGAGCAGGAAGGAAGGTGCCTGCCCAACTGATACCCTGTGACCCTCCCTCCTCTGCTGCACATGGGGGAGGTGTGAGCTAAGGGTGGGGTTCTTTGGCACCTGAGGCCCTACCTGCTCTAATATCCTGTGCTGAGGAGAAGAGGGCTCCCGAAGGCAGGCAGCACACACACGTGGCTGGAGCAGCTTCTGGGACTCCTGCAGCTGCCTTCTAGAACGTGACAGCACAAGGCCGGCCTCCCTCCGCAGCCTCATAGATCCCACTTAGGTTTGGCCACCTCTGCACCCAAGGTGCTCCCAGGCAGTCATATGGAGATTCTACAAAGGAGCCAATATGGCTATTCTCTCTTATTTCCAACCCTTCTCCTGGGGAACCGGCCAAGCAGGTAAGCGAACATTATGGTACCTGCTTGATTAAGCTTAGAGACTCCTTCCTTAAGTTTAAACAATACAAGCAGAATACTTATATTTTTAAAAGTAGATACAGTATCCAAAGTACCTGCCACATCAGATTATCATACAAATAATTTTTAGTGACATTTTTATTTATAGTGAAACCATTATTTTGGATGCCACTGATTCTAAGTTTAAGCTAATACCAGCAGGTCTGAAGGAAACACTATAATAAGTTACTGAGCTTTTCAAGAGCCCATAAACATATTAATGTACTTGATAATATCAAGAGCATTGCTCCACTTAAGTGTATTTGATATTATGGTCAGTTATTCTAATCTACCTATTGTTGTAGGATCACCAAAGATTTCAAGTTATTTATACATTTTTAAAAAAAAAGATTTTTTAATTGATTTTTTTTAGAGAGAGAGAGAAAAGGAGAGGGAGAGAGCGAGAAACAGGAATGTGAGAGTGAAACATCAATTGACTGCCTCCTGCACACCCGCTACCGGGGATTGAGCCTGCAACCTGGGCATGTGCCCTGACCAGGAATCAAACTGGCAGCCTTTCGGCGCACAGGATGATGCCCAACCAACTGAGCCACACCGGCCAGTGCTATACATTTTAAATAAACTAGATACAGAAAAGATCTGCCTTTGGGGTTAAAGACCTGGTTTAAATATCATCTCTGACATTTACTAGTATGGGATCTTAGGTAAATTACTTCTCCTAGTTTATCCCCTCATTTATGAAATGGGGATAATACACTTTACCTAAGGGGCTTTTATGTCCAGCAGAATGTGTGATTCACAGAAGAAACTCAATAAGATTTGTTCCTTTTCTCTCTTTCCCTTCTTTTTACCCAAGTCAGACTAGTCTTTCATCAATCAATGGAAACTACTTTTCCCCATTTACATTAAACTTGTTTTTGAGAAATACATTTGCCATATCATATTATAGATTGAGGTTACTGAGATTCTCCATAAATTTCGAAGAGTAAGTGACTCAGGACCAATCAGGGAAGAACACAGAATTCGCATTTGGAGCTAAGGGATTTCTACACCATTATTTAAGGACATGCCACGCCATTTATCCGGGACTATCATTAACCACGCTGCTTCAGTTCCAGGTCACTAACCTCGGGATCTAGGTCATCAAGAACATTTTCCAAGTGTTTCAATTCCTCTTCTGAGAGTTTTCCAAGAAGCTCATCTTCATCAATGTTCTTATATTTCTCCAACTCTTTTTGAAAAGGGAGCGCCATGGTTTCTCAGATGCCCTTCTCATGGGCCGCGAACATTTAAATGGGCCAGCGTCCTGAGACCTCAGAATGCCACTAATAAGAAAGAAACTCTGTTATTTCCTTTCTGCAAACAGGATTTATTAACAGGAGACAGGGCTATGCTATCTGCCAGTGGAGTCTCTCTATTGGACGAATAATTCAACAAAAAAGGTGATATTACCTTCATTTGTAGAGCAACCTGACCACTTACAAAGTGTTTTCATGTATATTATTTTACTTACTTAGATCTTTACAACAACCTGGAAAAAAAGCCTGGACAGATATTGATAACCTATTTTACAGATAAAGAGCCTGAGATGAAAAGTGGCTAAGTGCTTTGCTTGAGGCTCCAGAACTGGGATGTGCCTGGCCTTCTGATTCCCAGGGTAGTGAGTGCCTTCCCACTATACTACTCTGCCTCCTCCAGCTTTCCACAGAACACAGTGAAGAACAATGCACCAATTGTACGGCAGTTGTGAGCAGCACACTTGTGTCTTTTCAGAGAAAGAGTAATGGGAAGAATACAAAATGGGGTTCATTCAGAAAGAGAGTTTGGAACATCCATGTGAGAAAGCATTGTCCAGCAGCTCCCCTGCCATTAGGCTAAGGAGATTCTAAAATCCTGGCTGCATGCTCACCCTCTCCACTGTTCTCCTCTCTGTTCCTCTTTCCTCCTCTCCCATTCTCTTTTAGTCCTATTTCCTTTTTGTTTCCTGGGCCATCCTGCTCAATTCTTTACATTCCTAGTCCATTCCCCTTTCAATACCCACTTTTTATACCACCTCACCCCTAAACTTCCACTCACAGTGAAATTTTTACTCATCCCTTCTTCTTCACAGAGGATTTTACAGGTATTCCCTTGAAAGATAATACCGCATTCAGGAAATAACAATGTACTCAATTGATTGTGTTTCTCCTTAGGAAGTATTACTATCTGTCAGATCTTTCAAGGCAATTAATATTTGTTGTATGTCCACTAATTACCAGGCAGCGTTCTAGAAAACAAGAATACAAAGGCAAACAAGATGTGACCCTTCCCCAAGGAGATCATAGCTCAGTGAGACACACAAATAGGATAAGTGTTATAACAAAACTAATGTATAAAGTAAGTTTAAAACATATAAGGAGATAATTATTGGATAAAGGGATCTAGGGTTTGAGGGGACACTGGGAAAAAGAGGTTGAGTTTGAAACTGTAAGGAAGAGGTCATAGAGGTCATAGGGTAGACATGAGTGGGGAAGGGTCATTCTTAGGAAAAAGGAACAGTGTAAACAAAGGCACAAAGGTGAGAAAGTACATGGTAAGTTGGGGAATGCTTGTGTGTCTTGAGGGGAGAGTTGCCGGGAGGGAAGAGGAAAGACAAGGAAGACATCTGTGAAGGGCCTTCCCTATATGCCTTGCCTAGGAATCCGGGCTTTATTCTGTTGGGAGATAAGGAGCCATTCCAAATTTTTAAAGTAGAGGAATGATCTGAGAAGCCCTGTTTTCAAACAGTAAGAATGAAAAATGGTTTGGCATGGAAAGAATGTTGTTTCCCTCTCCTTATTAATTCAACTATTCACCATATTCAAGTTTGTGGTTTTCTATTTGTGTCATTTCCATATAAAATGTAACTCTCTTTCCCTTTTATAAGCCCACCTTCTTTTAATTTCAATGGCTATATTCCAGTAAAGACAAAACAAAATTCATCCCACTAAAGTCAGAGAAACCAACTACACCATATATACTTTGTTCTGGTCCCAGCTACCATCAATTTACTGTGTGACTGTGGACAAGGATCTCAATCGGCCAGGCTCTTAGCCATCAAACAAACTGGTTAAACTACCTTACCTACGGATTCCAAGATGAACAGTTTCCCACAATATAACATTCTGAAATTGACATTTATCTTACAATTGGCTCTCAACCACTGACACAGCAGCAGTCAAGAAAGACTTGTCACAGCCTACATATGCATAAATATCAAAAGCACCAGCTTCAAAACTAGCAGAATAGGTGTCAGGGATTTGGAAAACAATTCCAGGGACTCTTTAAAACCTAGTGGGGAGGAAGTGGGAGACATGGCGACTCAAGGGTATTTAGCAACACTCCCTCCCAAAGGAAGGTCCAGATTAGGCCAGTTCCGTATAATTACAGAACGGTTTAAGACCCAACATCAATGACTTTTATAAAATTACCATTTTTGATGGCAAAGAGGAGGTACTGGGTGGAAACAAAACAGACATTGATGACTATGAGTCAAAAATGATTCAAAAGGTTGGGATCTGAACATGAAGAAGTTTTAAGAATATCAGCCAATTCATTTTACTTGCGTTTTCCCTTTTTATGTTGCTCAGGGATGGTATGCTATTTTAAAAATCTGTGTATGTTCAGAGCAGCTTTATTTGAAACAGACAAAAACTGCAAACAACCTGAATGGTCATTAGTAGGTGGATGGATTAACAAAGTGTGGTATGTCCACATAATGGAATCTACTCAGAAATGAAAACAAATGAGCAATTGATACACATGATGATATGGATGAACCTCAAAATAATTATACTGAATGAAAGAAGCCAGACCCAAAGGAATGTATATGGTATAATTACATTGATCTAAAATTCTAGAATATGTA